GGACATGGAGCTCTGGTGGTGTAATGGATAAGGCATCTGGCTGCTACCCAGAAGGTCAGCAGTTCAAATCCACCAGCTGCTCAGCAGAATGAAAATCTACTTCTGTAAAGACTTATAGCCTTGGAAACCCAGTGGGCGTCGCTATGAGTCAGAATCAACTCCACAGCACTGAGTTTTTTTTTTTTTTGGTTTATATATGGACACACACACATGTATATTACACTATCTTTAACATAAGGAGCTCTGGTGGGGGAAAGATTAAAGCATTCAACTGCTAATCAAAAGTTGGCAGTTTGAACCCACCTGCAGCTCTGTGGGAAAAAGGTAAGGTAGTCTGCTTCTGTAAATATTTACAGCCTTGGAAACCCCGTGGGGCAGTTCTACTCTGTCCTATAACAGTCCCTATGAATCAGCTTCGCCTTGATGATAGTGGTCTTTCTGGATTTTCTTTAACATATTTAATATGTTAATAACATATTCTTGAACGTATTTTATAATTGCACAATTTCATTTATATGACATTTATGATTTAGGGATGTGTCCTGTGTTTTAAATTTTAAATTCCTTTATAAACGTCATATGTGAAGAATAATAAGAGTTTTCATTTACAAAATATTTACTGTTCTAAGACCTTTCTATGTATTATTGCCTTTAATCTTTGTATTGTTTCCATGATACACATTTGAATGTTATGTGACAAAGTGGAGATTTAGACCCAGACAATTTGAACCCAGTGCCCACATTCTTAACTACAAAGCTATAGTTTATTTTATTTTTTTAATTTAAGGTTCTTAAAATAAAAACAGTTGCCTTTGAGTCGATTCTGATTCATAGTGGCCCATGTGTGTCAGAGTGGACACCATAGGGTTTTCAATGGCTAATTTTTCCGAAGTAAAATCACCAGGTCTTTCTTCTGAGGCACTTCAGGTTGGACTCACACCTCCAACCTTTCAGTTAACAGCTTAGCCTTTGCTGTTTGCAACACCCAAGGATTTCATATATTCCAATGGAAAGTTCTTAAACATATTTAAACTGTTTTATTAAATGTACAAACTTTCATTGGCAGTTTTATAAAATGGTTCAATATGATGTATATAAATTTCACTTAATGTCAATGTAATCTATTTTTAAAAATACTTCAATGAATATTTTCAATGTAATCTTGAATACTTATTTTTATTATCTTACTATTTAAATAAGAGATATGTTAAAAAAATGGATCTAGAAAGTAAGTCAGATCAGTTTTTCTTAAAATTTGATACATGAATTAGTGTATCAGTTTGAACCCTATAATTCCTAAAAATGCTAGTGTATGTACTTTATACTTATTGAATATTA